CGATTTCTTTTATTGTGACAGAAACACTGCATTTGCACAACGGAATAACTTGGAGCAAGTACCATTAGGCGGGGGTTCATACACGATGTAGGGTGCATAGGCGGATCCAGGAATTTTCAAAGGATGGTGTGTGTGTGTGTGTGTGTGTGTGTGTGTGCGTGCGTGCGTGTGTGCGTACATGCGTGTGTGTGACGGGTTCCCCTTGGCTCCGCCAATGCAAAACATTAACTTCCATGTGGTCTTTAGTTATTTTCAGCAAAAAAAAGAAGATTGGGGGGGGGTTGTTGTCCCCGGACCCCACCCCCTCTCTCCCTCCCCCTGGATCAGCCTATGGGGATGTCCTTAAACCTGACTTTATGGCAATCAAACAAATACTGAATGGACAACGGCACACCACTGGTATCGTAGAGAGGGTCGTTGTACCACATATCGATGACCATCCTCTGAGCACCTGACAGGCCAGTCTTGATGGACGACCATGCTAGGTAAGACTACTTTTCAGCCCTAACTTTACCTGGCAGGTGTCTAGATCTCAGTCCCACAGAGCATATGTTTGGGACATTATGGGTCGCAGAGAGATCCTCTGGAATTAAGCCCTCCATCAGGTGAGTGAGTGAGTTTAGTTTTACGCCGCACTCAGCAATATTCCAGCTATATGGCGGCGGTCTGTAAATAATCGAGTCTGGACCAGACAATCCAGTGATCAACAGCATGAGCATCGATCTGCGCAATTGGGAACCGATGACATGTGTCAACCAAGTCAACGAGCCTGCAACCCGATCCCGTAAGTCGCCTCTTACGAGCATAGTCGCCTTTCGTGGCAAGCATGGGTTGCTGAAGACCTATTCTACCCCGGATCTTCACGGATCCCCTCCATCAGGACTGGAACACAATACCTCTACGTCAAATTCAACGTCTGATAAGTCAATGAGGAGGAGGATCAGGGATGTTATTGCAGTTGGTGGCGGTTACACACGATATTGATATTGTACTTGGTTATTGTTACTTAGGTGATTTCTTGGGGACTGTATGTCAGAATCTTGAAAATAACGTCATAAGGCCATAGTTATCAGCAATTATAATGTTTTTGCTATGTTTGTTTCTTTTTGCGCTTGGATTTGCCACTTAATTATTCATTGAAAGATAAATTGCAGTTTGGATATGTTCCTTTGCTATGATTAATGGTAACATATTGGTACTTTGAAAAATATGTGGTGTTGGGATACCTTTTCCCATGTGTATATATAGCAAAATAGGAACATATTTATGGACCTAAAATAAAATAGCACCACAGGAACACGTTTATATAGCATGGCAAAGGATAACGTATATATCATTTCATTTATATGTTCATATATAGCAATATAAGAAATCTTTATGTCCATACATATAGGAGTATAGGATGATTTATTGATACATACCTAACCTTTGTACGTATATAACAACATAGAACCCAGCCCCTCCCCCCTTTGTACACATACACTATATACATCCCTTTACATTAGTGTTGGAATCTAATGATATGTCTATATCTATTATTCTAATGATATGTCTATATATAGTATTCACTATATATACTATCACCTTTACATTAGTGTTGGAATCTAATGATATGTCTATATCTATAGTATTCTAGTATAGTATAGTATTCTAATGATATGTCTACATCTATAGTATTCTAGTATAGTATAATATTCTAATGATATGTCTATATCTATAGTATTCTAATAATATGTCTATATCTATAGTATTCTAGTATAGTATAGTATTCTAATGATATGTCTATATCTATAGTATTCTAGTATAGTATAGTATTCTAATGATATGTCTATATCTATATTATTCTAGTATAGTATAGTATTCTTCCAGATAAACAGTATACAGGATATTAGTAAACAGTAATTTAACTAGTCTGTCATACAGACCCTGAGGCAAATATATCCAAGAAAGCCCACGCAAGTCTAGAAAATGTGGCAAGTCTAGATTTCCTCGGCTTCTGAAAATGAAGAAAGTCTCAGGGCTCCTTTTCATTATAAATGTATATATATATTTTTTTTTACTAAGAATTTTTTTAAAGTGAAATATGTTCATTTCAGAGACTAGTTGTTAGTCTATAATTTGACTTGTACACTAAGTATTTCAAATAGATAAAACGACAAAAGTGAGTCATGCATGTGTACATACTTGTACACTCAAATGACACATATATAATTATATAATATAACTAAATCCGTGACTTCATATCCCAAGCAGGTTTGACTCAAATATCCCATCCCCATCATATTGTCATAGCGATTGGTTGAGGGACAATCATTGTCCAAATATTTCCAAAGGCCAAATTAGATGGCCAGGACATGTTTGACTTAACTGTAATTATTAATATGGCGCTCATATCCATTCTTAATCACCACCTCATTGCACATTGACTTGTCAACCAATCCATACCACTCTGTTACCTTCATTAATCACTCAATATGACATTTATGACCTTGATTGGTCATCCCCTTGGTCGTGTCTGCCATCACATCAACTGGACCATATATGGCAATATGCTATTGTTTCTTTATCTGTACAGTGTTGTCTCCTCGCCTGTCCATCTTTGTCTATGACTATATATATGTTCGTATCTATATTGTCACTATTCCGGTATCCCGACTGCCTGTGTAGATACCACCATGAGCAGGATGTGCAGCTTGTAGGAAACGCCCTAGTGTTGAGCTGGAACTCCGCTCACCTCAGTTATGTCTGAGCCGGCAACCCAGTTCATTACTGTCTTGTGTATTTGTTTATCATGTACTGTATAGCCAAGTGAAAAGTATTCTTTTGTCTTCGTCAACGTATAATTCTAAGCTAGTTCCCCTGTCGACATATACGCATTGACATTATTAACGTCATTTATGTCGATCAGTCCTGGAATAAATAACGTAATAACAGACGTAGCCTAGTTGGAAATTTACATGTTACGATGCTGCTTCATATTGAAATTCGGAGTCCTTGTTTGCTTTGTAACACCTCGTTTCTCTGTTATGAGTTTGTGGGCGGTGGGGGTAGCCTAGTGGTTAAAGCGTTCGCTCGTCACGCCGAAGACCCGGGTTCGATTCCCACATGGGCACAATGTGTGAAGCCCATTTCTGGTGTCCCCGGGCGTGATATTGCTGGAATATTACTAAAAGCGGCGTAAAACCCAACATACTCACTCACTCACTGCTATGAGTTGATCCATACTTGACGTGACTGGTGCGTTTCCAGTTTGTACTTGATGACCCTGCAATGTTCAAGATTTGAAAAAAACCCCGCAGTTTAGTATTTTGAGAGATGAATCTTAAGTCTACTCCGAACTTCGTGTTATCGACACGCCCTATATCATCTTAGGGATCAACACTGAGCATAAATAGACACAGCCTCAACATACAACCCTGTCGGCCTCCACTGCACATAACAAAACATTCAGTGGTGACATGTACGTCACCTCGTACACACGACCTGACATGTATGTATTTCAATGTTGAAACGTTTCATCACAGACCACTCCTCACAAAGCTCTGCTTGTCTGACAATACTTTTTAAGATACATCATGAGAGCAGTGGCAACTTTATCTATCATAATCCTTTTGACAGCATTCTCTGGTCGACGAGTATTGATTGTTACACGATGGTCGTTGTTAAAGGACGTTGGCTCGTGGGACGGCGATGGGTGGGTGAGTTTGTGTGTGCGTATTGGGGGGAGGTGTGTGTGTGGTGGGTGGGTGGGGTAGAGACGGGGGCGTTTAAAATGAACACTCTTGTGTTCTGAGAACTTCCGTCTACCTAGCAACTCACAATGAAGTGTTCCAAGAAGTTCAAACCACATAAAAAGATCACTCAAATATCCGGCTGGGCGTACATGTATGCATGACATAGCTGTGATTAATGTACTTGTAAATCAGGATTTGACGGTGTTTCAAGGAAAGTTAGATGAACTGCATGTCAAAACATTGATTACACAACAGTCTCGTTTCCTGTTGACTGGGTCCCGTCCTTTTGCGCAACTTAGTACAATAACCAGTCCAGAATTTTGGGACCAATTCCTTTACCTGGATACATAATTATTAATCAGTATTATTTGATACATCTAAGCACTTGCATATTGCAACACTACGCTCCTTCTAATCCTTCCAAACACGTCGTGCAGCGTGCTCTGTCGTACAGCGAGCTCAAAACGAGTCTCTACCGCTAGAAAAGTTTGGCGGTCTGGTACGGACTTGATATTATATCAGTAACATTGTGCGTTACAGAACTACACTGAATAAGCGCAAAAAACACATAACAGGTGTAACCAGTGTGCCAGATGCATTGTGAATCATTTTACGACCTCATCAAACCGGGGCAGTCTGTGACGTCTTATTAAAGGTCATGCTGCCTACACCTCGCCATAAAATATAGAACTACGATGTTATTAAAGTTTAAACTTAAAATTCATTTGTAAATACCATTTTCTTATGAAACAAGGAATTAGAATTCAGTGTAACCATAGTTGTTTATGATGTCTATTTTCACTTTCACACGAGGAAATTCGAATGGGCTGAAAAGTAGGTCATTGTCTGAATAGGTTAATGAGATTCGTGTTTCGGTTCGATGTTAACCGCATCCTTGGTGTTGAGGTCTCCGCCATGACAGAGCTAAGTGAGTGAGCGAGTATGGTTTTACGCCGCTTTTAGTAATATTCCAGCAATATCACGGCGGGGGGCACCAGAAATGGGCTTCACACATTGTACCCCGGTTTTCGGCGTCACGAACGAACGCTTTAACCACTTGGCTACCCCACAGCCCCTTAACAGAAGTGAACTGACTGAGTTTGGTTTTACGCCGCTTTTATATTCCAGCAATATCACGGCGGGGGGCATTAGAAACGGGCTTCACACATCGTACCCTTGATGGGGATTCGAACCCGGGTCTTCGGCGCTTGACAGAGGTGAAGTATCCCTTCCAACACCCTGGCATAAATAAAAACAACGCTGACATAGATAATAAAATGGTTTGTTTTGCTTGCTAAGTGATAATACATGCAAAAGCACAATTATTCGCACTCGAATGACATAATGTCTGTTCTTAATTTATTCCGGGGTATGTTAAATGTGGTTCGAATCCAGGATTCGGTCCGAATATCATCCCTGTTCTTTCAGCATCTTTTCCGTTTGTGTTGTAACCAATATACAAAAAGATCTGCTTAAATGCGGCATTTCTCACACATTAAACCAGCGCCCCTTTAACGTAATTGTGTAAACAAGCGTTGAACCCAACACACCCACTCATGCTAGCCACGATAAGCAGAGACATTGTTCATGGCTCAGTTATTCAATCTTTCATTCTTGGTATTATCTACATCCTTCAAACTATGATGACCAGTCCAGATAATATACATATTCGGGGCCAATTAGCACCGGAGGACAAACCTAAACATGGACAGAATTTATATGCAAGATGAGGGCTGATAAGTTTCATACTTGTGCCCTGGTGACGAATATATTCAACAATATCCTGTTACCTCACTGTGAGAAATCACAGTCACCATGCACGAACCTTGGACTTCCGGTTCCGGTGCATTTCCGGGTAACGAGTCTTTGGAATGACCACAAATATTTAAACTTTTAACACCAGATCCACTTCAGCGTTACCACATCATGTCTGAACTAAACCTTGGGTGGAGTTGAAAAGGAGTTGTTAGGTACACGTTATAATGAGGTAGAAACGTGGTATAGTAATAGTGCAGTAATTCTTCCACCGAGCTGTATACAACTTCATGATTACTCTCCAAGCAGTATTTTCCTTGCTGAAATTAAAGATAAAAACGATATAACCTAAAGTTTGTCGGTTTCAAAGATTTTGTCTAAAATATACTTATGATCTGAAAGATAGTCTACACACCAACGTTTCTTTGTTTATTGCTTGACGTCGCACTCAGCGATATTCCAGCTATGATCGAGTCTGGACCAGACAACCCTGTGATTGACATCATGAGCATCGATCTACGCAACTGGGATACGATGACATGTGTCAACCAAGTCAGCGAGCCTGACCACCCGATCCCGTTAGTCGCATCTTACGACAAGCATGCGTTACTGAAGACCAATATTGCTAATTGCGGCGTAAAAATAAACTCATTCACTCGTACAACAATATCTGGGTATGAAACACTGTTGACCAATCACATGTAATTAATTAATAATGGCATATATACTCGAAAATATATACAATACATTCCCAAGCCATTGACAGCTGAACTTAGCTTTGAATTAATTACTCAGTACATTATACACGTTGTGATGGAATATATCGATATTGATAAACATAATCACTTCGTTAATCAATAAGGACACAGACTATGGCTGACTGTGTTGTTTTCCGCAGAGTGAGTGAGTGAGTTTAGTTTTATTCCGCTTTTAGCAATATGGCAGCAATATCACGACAGGAACACCAGAAATGGGCTTCACACATTGTACCCATGTGGGGAATCGAACCCGGGTCTTCAGCATGACGAGCGAACGCTTTAACGACTAGGCTACCCCATCGCCCCTGGGCTGTTTAGAACTGTCATGGTTTGGATACAGTATGCACTACTGGTCAACAAGGGTTGGAGATGTTTATTACTCGGATGAAGAAGTACACGTGTTGACAGAAGCAGTGTTGATTTTGGTAGATACAGCCCCGTGCAGACAGACGTGATTTGACGTTGTAGACGTCAACGCGTGTCTCTCACACATACCACCCTGAGCTGTCGGTGTGGACATTTACTGGTGTGACACAGACAACAAAGAGTTGGAATTTTATCCACAAAGCGTTCGTAGAACCATATCATTCGTAAGCCTATGGTAAAGTACGGGGTTACGATGGGTCGTAACGCTTCGAACGCTTTGTGGATCGTGACACTGGTAGTGTAAACATCAACGAGGCTCACGCAAAATATCCACAGCTGAAGACGTCGACATTATCGAGTCTCACACAGAAAGTGAGAGCTGGCATGATTTGATATACGTGTAATAATAAACACATTACCCAGCATGCACCCAATAGCTCGAGTTTTCTGGGACTATGTTTCTTGACTGAATAAAAATACTTACTACGTTTTCAATCCTGAATTTTCTTGGCTTATTATCGGCGTAGACGACTAGAACTTTCTGTAACAAACCACAGAATGTATAATCTTTGTGCTATAACCATATCCTACAAAAACGATAAAAAGTATGTAATAAATTCAAATTATTTAACACCACGCAAATGACAACGAAGGCTATATAGAGAATACTACACGAGGTCTCATTACATACGAATTATACGAAACGAGTGTCAGATAACACAATAACAACGCTGTAACATATATACTTGTCATTATTATGCCTCCAGTATTCCAAGTCAAGCAATCAAGCAATGAATATGTCTTTATGTTGTATGGCTTTCCTAAAGTAAAGTACCTTATTACCCACGAGGTCAACGTATGGGTAGTTGCATACTAATCTCGTACGTCACACGAGTGTCGTATCGCGTTGACCTGTGTCGTAACGACTTGACCTGAGATTCTAACGATTAGATTGGATAACCGATGACCTCTCAATTAGGTTACATTCTGACGTAACTATTTTTTCATTCATAACAAACACGTGAATTCATTCATTCTACAACTTAAATGCATTGTGGGAATGTAAACAGTGCGAACGTTGCCGTGTCGCTGTTTATTGTGAGTCGAACTGAGACATTATATCCGTCTAAAAACATAAACGCAATGTTTCCACCAGTGATGTTAGCCGAATGAAGCAACTGGAAACCAAGAAACGAGGTGCTACGGAGTAGTTTACTGTAGGAGGCTGTACGAGGCGATGACAACTGACATGGATCGTGACGTCGGTTACCAAGGCAGTGACGTCATTACAGTGTGACGTCATTACAGTGTGACGTCATGCAAATATTGTACTACAGTACAAAACTCTTCCGCAACCTCTTTATGAAACCGGTTTCGGTTTGAAACCAAAAAACGTAACAAAAATACGCTATTTGTCAATTTAATGCATATAAGACGTGGGTAATAAATAAAATACCACACTTGATCTCATTACACACGAATTATACGAAACTCGTGACCTTCCTATGTTATCTGACCGAGCGAAAGCTCGTTTCGTATAATTCGTATGTAATGAGACCTCGTGTAGTATTCTCTATGTCCCGTCTCGAACAATGAACACGCCGTTCCGTGTTATAGCTTTCGCTCGGTCAGATACCATATCGAATTAAATACCTTTTTTTTTGTTTGATATACAGCGCCTTATCTTTGACGAATTGACATGCGCTTTCCGGGTTGAGAGATTGATTTACATTATATCCTTTCCTCAAGATCGAGCATTTTTATTAAGTACAGATTGAATAGAACGGTGATAACAAGCCAAGGGAAGACGTCGAAACTATCACAGTAAGTCAGATAAAATCGATACCGTAACGAATCGATCGTTAAAATGAAATTAACAAGGTTGATCCAACCTAACAACGTCAACATAACAGGTAATTAAAAATGAATTATTCAAGAAAAACACTTCCTTGGTGCTGAGTGTATTATATAATGAAAGCACTTATTTCCTGCTCAGCTGGGACAAACGGAATAATTTGTGTTGTTTAAATTTAATCGTCGGGGTGTTTATGGGGCTGTAGTTTACAAATGTGTGATCGATTTGTGTTGAAAATATAATATGTCGGTTATATCACGGGGTTTCAGTTCAGTATAAGGGGCGGTTAGGTAGCCTAGCTGTTAAAGTTTCGCTCGTTGTATCGGGTTCGACTCCCCGAGTCATAGTGAGTGAGTGAGTTTAGTTTTACGCCGCACTCAGCAATATTCCAGCTTTATGGCGCCGTTCTGTAAATAATCGAGTCTGGACCAGACAATCCAGTGATGAACAGCATGAGCATTGATCTGCGCAATGGAGAACCGATGACATGTGTCAACCATGTCAGCGAGCCTGACCACCCGATCCCGTTAGTCGCCTCTTACGACAAGCATAGTCGCCTTTTGTGGCAAGCATGGGTTGCTGAAGATCTATTCTACCCCGGATCTTCACGGGTCCCCCGAGTGATAACTAATGTGGTGCTTTTCTTTGGACCTGTTATACTGATAGGGTGGTATCTTGGGGACCTGCCATAACAGACAAGGTGACGTCTTGAGACCGTTCATGACGTCGCATTCAGCAATATTCCAGCTATATGATGGCGGGCTGTTAAACAGTTGTGTCTCTACCAGACAGTCCAGTGATTGACATTATGAGCATGGAGTGAGTGAGTTTGCTTTTACGCCGCTTTTAGCAACATTCCAGCAATATCACGGCGGGGGACACCAGAAATGAGCTTCACACATTGTACCCATGTGGGGAATCGAACCCGGGTCTTCGGCGTGACGAGCGAACGCTTTAACCAATAGGCTACCTCACCGCCCATATGAGCATGGAAGTACGAAATTGGGAAACGATGACATTTCAGCGAGCCTGACCACTCGAGTAATGGCTGCTAAGGACCAATGGTTTGCTTGCCAAGGGCTATGACCTGGGCCCCGTTCCTCAAAGCAATCGTAGCGCTACGATAGTCGTAATTCTATGTTAAAGTATGGGAGTTACGATCATCTTAGCGCTACGATCGCTTTAAAGGAACGGGGCCCAGTATATTAAGTGTATTCCTACTAACATCTCCTTGTGTCCCGTCTCGAACAAGGAACACGCCGTCCTCTGCAAGCTGTCTGATGATGCTGTAACAGAATAACAAAAAATTAGTTTACATAGCTGACCAAACTTATCTTCTGGTTTTACGAACGAATTATCATTTTAACCAAAGACGTATATACGTCTTTGTTTTAACATAAAAAACATGTTCCACCAAAACATGATATATGAGTCATAAGCTATTAGCTTCAGTAACATATGACGTCATCACAATGTGACGTCAACAATTACGTCATGATGCAGTGACAGCAGGGCGTGTCACTGTTCAGTGTGGATCCTTCTGCACTGATGTTTTGCGATCCCGCAGAACTGATGGAAAATCCAGTGGTCGATAGCATGAGCAACGAGTCCTCATTCTGGTTCAGCATGTGGAAACGATTCCTGGTATCTTCCACCGTTATACAACACTCACTCACTCACTCACTCACTCACCCACCAAAACTCACACCCACTCACTCACTCACTGATATAGTGCCGAAGTTGGGAAAAGCTGTATCAGTGTAAAGGGGCTACGACATATGAAATATGACCGTTTTAGTTGTCCATTATTTAATTCACCCCAAAATGAAATTGTATGACACCACCGCATATGAGTTATTTACGACCTGAAGACAAGTTAGTTGTCAGCTGTCCCGATGATGGATAGAGGACTGAAGTATACCTTGGACATCCAACACATCAACACAGACGCATGGCATGCGAGCTCGTTGTCCGCCAACACCTCAGCTGCATACTGAGTGAAGTATTGGCAGTGGGGCTGTAACGATGCATCGAACTATCGATTGATTGCAGTTGTTGAGTCTTCGATAGCAATAATACATGGTAGCAACAAATCACAATCGACGCATCGATAGTTTGTGTGACTATCAATAGTTTAGTATAGTTCCTGTAGAGAAGTCAGTATTATTTGTGCGTGCCAAGTATTCAGATTTACGAAGGAAGTATTTATCATTTATATCAGCACGTGTAAGAGATAAACAAATATTGTCCAGTCTGTTAAATGGTAAAAATATTGATATGATCAAATCTATTGCAATTTATTTAAAACATGTCTTCAATGCAAGAAATGTCACCACCACCACGTGCATATAATTGTAGCAAGTGCATTTGTACTATAGGCCTTTAGGCCCGAAATACTGAATAAAAATGAATCTTAATCTCAGAAGTCAATAACTAGCACGGCCATGAGTGAGTGAGTGAATGAGTATGGTCTTACGCAGCTTTTAGCAATAATCACGGCGGGGTGGGGTGGGGCACCAGAAATGGGCTTCACAAATTGTACCCATGTAGGATTCGAACCCAGGTCTACGGCGTGGCGAGTGAAGGCTTTCATCATCAACATCAAACTTCCCACGTGTCATTGATGTGTGTATGGAACAACAAGGAACTGTTCAGAATTACCCCTGTCATAATGAGTACCAACAATGCGGGTATCAAATTTCCAAATGTATTGAGTTTTTGTACAACCGAGACACTGTTTGAAGCTGGGACACTAACTGGGACACTGTTTAAAAACACTTTCTATTCCACCAGGGCCTCGCCTGTACTGCTTGTAACCCAGTTGACGATTTGTTGCCTGCCTCGAGAATTAGGACGGAAATACACCAGTTGATCAACCTCACTTTTTTGTCCCATCAGGACAGAAGTAATCAAGTTTCAAATAGAAACAATAACCACTGTGGGCTTTATATTTGGCTGCACCGGGTCTTCCTCATCAGGTAGAGAGATATATAAAGCCATTTCGCTTCCTAGTGGATGCATGCTGGACACCCCGTCGCCTACACGGAAGCTGGAGACAGTTTATATTTTCAACACTTGGTATTTAAAATAGTTTTCTCGAAAATAATCTGATTATCTGATTACGAAACTGTAGTGTAACATGGATATGCTTGATGACTAATGGTTATACAGTCGAAATTTTCCTTTGCTTAGAGACCCGTGAAGATCCGGGTTAGAATGAATCTTCAGTAACCCATGCTTGTCGTACGAGGCGACTAACGGGATCGGGTGGTCGGGCTCGCTGGCTTGGTTGACACAAGTCATCGGTTCTTAATTACGCAGTTCGATGCTTATGCTGTTGATCACTGGTTTGTCTGGTCCAGACTTGATTATTTATAGTCCGCCGCCATATAGCTGGAATATTGCTGAGTGCGGCGTAAAACTCACTCACTCACTCCTTTGCTTAGCGGGGCGGTGGGTTTGGCGGTGGTTAAAGCGTTTGCTCGTCACGCCCAAGACGTTAAGGTACGCGGATGAGGTTGGTCGTCGCTCAAGGGTTGGGTCACTGGTTTGCCAAGCCACGCTGAAGACCCGGGTTCGATTCCCCTACATGGGGACAATGTGTGAACTCATTTCTGGTGTCCTCCGCCGTATTATTGCAGGGATATTGCTAAAGGCGGCGTAAAACTAAACTCACTCACTAATTCCTTCCCTTAGTTGGCGTTAGACAAGGAGAAAATCTGTCACCCCTCTTATTTGTTGTTTCTATATTGGAACAATATCCCACTGAAAAGAACTGTGAAAGAAATGATTCCGATACGCAATGCGCAGATAGAGTACAGTACCAATTGGAGAAAGCGGTGTGCGGAACTTTGCCAACAGGTATACTAAGAACTCTGCCCACAACAAATTTTACATGATGAATTTTGCCCACAATATCAATATTCCTTGCGGGCATGAAGAAAGGGACGTCCCAGTCTCTCTGTTCTTCCAGTCTACATGTGGTGCAGGCAAAGGACGTGTTGTTGTGCTGATGCAGGTGTATGTGTGTTAAGTACAGGTCGTAGGGTGTGAGTGTAGGTTATGTCACAGGTGTGCTGCAGTGTGTGTGTGTGTGGTGTGAGGGAGTAGGTTAGAGAGTGAGAGAGTGGGTGCAGATGTGTTTGGGTGCAGGTATGTGTGTAGTCTTGTGTACGTGTACAGGTGTGTGCAGGTGCGTGTGCAGGTGTGTGTTGTGGTGTGGAGCAGGTGTGTATGCAGATGTGCAGGTGTGCAGGTGTCGTAATGTGAATTTGTTTGTGTGTAGGTGTGGGTGCAGGTGTGTTTGTGTGTGAGCAGGTGTATAGGTGTGAGAGCAGGTGTGTAGGTGTGAGTGTAGGTGAGAGTGCAGGTGTGTTTGTGTGTAGGTGTGGGTGCAGATGTGTTTGTGTGTAGGTGTGAGGTGCAAGTTTGTGTGTGTAGGCGTGAGTGCAGATGTGTTTGTGTGTGGGGCAGGTGTGAATGCAAGTGTGTTTGTGTGTAGGTGTGTGCAGATGTGGGTGCAGGTGTGTTTGTGTGTAGGTGTGTAGGTGTGTAGGTGTGTGAAAGCAGGTGTGTAGTGTAGGTGTGAGCAGGTGTGTTTGTGTGTAGGTGTGGGTGCAGATGTGTTTGTGTGTAGGTGCAGGTTTGTTTGTGTGTAGGTGTGAGGTGCAGGAGGTGCAGGTGTGTGTGTGTAGGTGTGTGCAGATGTGTAGGTGTAGGTGCAGGTGTGTTTGTGTGTAGGTGTGAGAGCAGTGTGTGCAAGTGTGTTTGGTGTAGTGAGTGCAGGTGTGTTTGTGTGTAGGTGTGAGTGCAGGTGTGTTTGTGTGTAGGTGTGAGTGCAAGTGTTGTGTAGGTGTAGTAGTATGTGTGTGAGTGCAGGTGTGCATGGTGTGAGTGCAGGTGTGTTTGCGTGTAGGTGTGTTTGGTGTGTGTGTGTGTGCAAGTGTCTGTACAGGTGTGCATGCAGGTACTATATCCGACCTGTCCTGTGTCCCCTGGTGATTGTGCCGTGTATATCTGACCACTACTCACTCATTCGCCTTGTCTCTGTTAGAGCTGTTGTAGTAGATGGCCGCCCAGTAGGAGTGGGAATCCGACATGTTGTCATCACTACTCTGAAAGCCAAGATATAACATTCCATTAAACTGAACTGACTTTGTACATAGTCATGAACGTATGTAACTTCACAAGCACAACAACGCTTCCGTGGCATGACGTCAACCCTCGTTGCTCACAATATCAACCACTGGTTTGTCTGGTCCAGATCCCTGACATGTGCATTAACTGGTACAACAATCTCACTCACCCACAGACATTATATATTAAGATATAATCCTTATGAGATGATAAGCCGTATACGCTCATGATTTGTTATGACTACGGGTTTTAGTGAGTGAGTTAATATGGTTTTACGCCACTTTTAGCAATATTCCAGCAACATCACAGCAGGGGACACTAGAAATGGGCTTCACACACTGCACCCATGTGGGGTATCGAACCCAGACCTTCGGCGTGACGAACGAACGCTTTAACCACGGGGCTACCCCACCGCCCTTACGGATTTTAAATGAAGCTGACAATTACTATCGTAAAATAAATAGATACTTACGATCATACTATCGTGATCTTCACACATTGTTACGTGTTAGCAATTTTAGTAGCGGTAGACATCTTTGTAGGTAAACTGACGTACAAAAAAAAGTACACACGTCATGTTGCTTTGAGAACACGTACAAAATGTTGATGACTTGTAAGTCAATCAAAATTTCAATTATTTTTTTAGAAAATAATTCCCCCCAAACTTCAATCTTGTTGGTTTTGAAAGTTTCTGGATTAGACAGTCCCTAGAAGGCTGGTTGTACCTGCATAAGAACAAAAAGAGAATGATTCGAGACCGTTTTTGTTTCTAATCTTCTTGCCAAGTGCAGTGTGAAAACTTTTACGAATACTATTCTCATCAGCTTCAACTAGATCCCCGCCACCTTCCAACACTGTTCAGGACACTGTAGTTAGGGGCTTGTAACGTTAAAATCTAGTACTAAGACCCCGTTAGTGACAGTATATACCTTGATGGCAGATTTTAGCGTTACAAGCCCCAATGAGTGAGTGAGGGAGGGAGGGAGGGAGTGGGTTAGTGAGCGAGCGAGCGAATATTGCTCCAAGTCGCAATACTGATGCTATTCGTGGCTGTCGCGGATAAGAGATAGGTCTCTGTCAAGACATGTAACCATGACAACAATCAGGACATTCGCCGGGTCACTGACATTAATTCTAGGGTCTGTTAACTGCTGCTGCTGCCACTTATTAGTTCCAGATTCAGTCGCTTGTGTTTACTAGAACAATATAGTCTGTCATACAGACCCTTAAGCAAATATATCCAAGAAAGCCCACGGAAGAATAGAAAATGTGGCAAGTCTAGATTTCCACAGCTTCTGAAAATAAAGAAAGTCCCAGGGCTCCTTTTCATTATAGATTGTATTATTTTTTTATAATATGAACTTTTTTTTCTATAAAATATGTTCATTTCAGAGACTAGTTGTTAGTCTATAGAACAATATAGTTGACTTTCCTCTGCGTGTGTTTGTGACATAGGGAAGGGCTTACCTTTTTGCGAGCACCTGGTCTCACTATTTAATAATGATTTATAGTCACATGATCAAGAGACAGTCGGAATCATACACTCGACTCTTATTTTTAGCAGAGATGTCTTATGAATATGGAAATTCACGCGTTTATATACTTCATATGGTATAGGTGTAAAAAACACACGGGGTTATGCATATAGAAACACAGTACCGCGGAGTATAGTGTGGAGTGTGTAATGTCCGACAGATAGATAATACGTATACACATAAGGATAGAGTGAGTGAGTATAGTTGTACACCGCTTTCCAGCACTATCATAGCGGGGGACACCAGAAATGGGCTTCACATACCATTAGGCTGACACTGTTACACATTCCCGTTAAGGGACAGATTAAAAGTTCTCGCAGGAAGATTGCACTAGGCACACTTCCTAAAGTGAGTGAGTGAGTGTGTGTGGTTTTACGCCGCTTTTAGCAATATTACAGCAATATCACGGAGGAGGCACCAGAAATGGGCTTCACATATGGTACCCATGTGGGGAATCGAACCCGGGCCTTCAGCGTGACGAGCGAACGCTTTAACCACTAGGCTACCCCACCGCCTAATGTAAACCATAAAGTAAACTGATGTTCAAAAGAAAGTACACACCAGGTTTTCGGAAATTATTTAAACAACACAAAACAACCAACAATAAACAACAACAACCCAAAAGAAAAAAACCCTGCAAAACAAACACAGTAAATATTTGTGAAAAGAGTTTGTGACCCACACTTCATCAACATCTCGCAGGTGCGCATCAGTGTATGTGAGCTCTGGTGTTTGTGATCATAAACAAGAACTTTTTTCTTTGGTGCTGACGAGGAGGCGGAAATATTATTCCTCAAGCTAGAGTTAAAAGTAAGGACGGACCGCTCCTCGATCTACTGACCTCCAGCTGACGTTCTCCTGGGTGTCCCTGTATCTAGTTTCTAGGAATCTGCCTATCACACCCTACTCGGATATCCTGTTTAGCTGGCAACACACTCAATGTTACCTGTGAATCAGCGTTAAATGAAGGAAATATTACTGTTATATTGCGGACGATATTGGGCGTGTACGCGAGTAAGGTTATACGCAGCTTTTAGCAATATTCCAGCAATATCACGGAGGGGGAGGTTTCACACATTGTACCCATGTGGGGAATCGAACCCGGGTTTTTAGCGTTACGAGCAAATGCTTTAACCACTAGGCTACCCAACCGCCCCGGACGATATTGGTGGAATAGTGCTAAATGCATCGTAAAACAACACTCGCTCAGCTATGCGATAGACGAATTTTTAAAGTGAAGGCTCGTGTCAACTGAAGGCCTAAGTTCGAATCCTATAGTTATGAAACCCTTTTATTGTGTAATTGTGTTTGCGTGTAATTTTGGACGGACGTGTTACGCGCCGCCCTATTTCAGTAATTTCAGCGGGTGATACCATAAATAGGCTTCACGTAATGAAATCATGTGTGGAGTAGAACCCTTTGGCGTCATGAACAAACACTTTAACCACCAGGCAACCCAACCATCCTGTAAATACTTGCAGTACTCGAACATTATAAGGAGCCCACAGTTCGAATCACACACGACGCTAAGATCATTGATAAACATTACGGTCAAACTGGATGGTAAAGAGAGGAAAAAAGTACACAGCACCAGGAAGTGGTAACTAGAAAACAGCTATAAACAGTACATGTAATTTCAGTTACATTCGGTCGGATCAATTTTCCCTTATTCAAGTGTAAAGACGAGGAAGTGTGGTGATCACAATAGTCTGAGAAGATTACAAACACAGATAGTTTAGTGGGTGGGTGTTCCTTCTTAAAATCATCATCACCTCCCACCAAAAAAACCCAAACAAAAACAACAACAAAAAAACAACAAAAAAAACAACAACAAAAACAAAACAACAAAAAACAAACAAAACAACAACAAAAAACATAAACAAAACAAACAAAACAACAACAACAACAACAAAAACCCACCCACTCACCCACCCTAACCATAAATTATGAAGGGTCTCTTAGCGTGATGTTAGGGTAGCCTTGTGGGTAAAGGGTTCGCACGTCACGCCTAAGATGGGTTCCCCACTATATATGAAGCACAATTGCTGGTGTCCCCCGCCGTGATATTACTGGGAGATTACTGAAAGCAGAATTAAAGGATACACCTTACAATCTTGTTTCAGGCAAACCAGGGTCTCAGTAATTGGCTTCGGGATGGATGTACGAATTCTCCCGATCTTATCCAAGCCATACTACCCTGCTGTCGCCACTACCATGCACCCTTACTTCAGTCAAACACCCCTACATCAATCCAACATCAATACCATTCACCCCTATATATCAGTCCAGCACCCTTATATCAGTACAAACCACTACAATTCACCCCTATATATCAGTCCAGCACCCCTATATCAGTACAAAACCCCTACCATTCACCCCTATATACCAGTCCAGCACCCTATATCAGTACAAAACCCCTACCATTCACCCCTATATATCAGTCCAGCACTCTATATCAGTACAAAACCCCTACCATTCACCTCTATATATCAGTCCAGCACCCTATATCAGTACAACTCCTACCATTCACCCCTATATATCAGTCCAGCACCCCTATGTCAGTACAAAACCCTACCATTCACCCCTATATACCAGTCCAGCACCCTATATCAGTACAAAACCCCTACCATTCACCCCTATATGTCAGTCCAGAACCTTATATCAGTACAACTCCTACCATTCACCTCTATATATCAGTCCAGCACCCCTATATCAGTCCAGCACCACTACCATTCACCTCTATATATCAGTCCAGCACCCTATATAACTACAACTCCTACCATTCACCTCTATATATCAGTCCAGCACCCTATATCTGTACAACCCATACCATTCACCCCTATATATCAGTCCAGTACCCATATATCACTACCAAACCCCTACCATTCACCCATAGATCAGTACAAAAACCCTACCATTCACCCCTATATATCAGTCCAGCACCCTATATCAGTACAAAACCCCTACCATTCACCCCTATATATCAGTCCAGCACCCTATATCAGTACAAAACCCCTACCATTCACCCCTATATATCAGTCCAGCACCCTATATCAGTAGAAAACCCCTACCATTCACCCCTATATATCAGTCCAACACCCCATATCAGTTCAGAACCCCTACCATGCACCTCTCTATATATCAGTAGCACCCCATATCAGTCAAAGCACCCCTATATATCAGTCCAGCACCCTATATCAGTACAAACCCCTACCATTCACCCCTATATATCAGTCCAGCACCCTATATCAGTACAAAACCTACCATTCACCCCTATATATCAGTCCAGCACCCTATATCAGTACAAAACCCCTACCATTCACCCCTATATATCAGTCCAGCACCCCTATATCAGTACAAAACCCCTACCATTCACCTCTATATATCAGTCCAGCACCCTATATCAGTACAAAACCCCTACCATTCACCCTATATATCAGTCCAGCACCCTATATCAGTACAAAACCCCTACCATTCACCCTTATATATCAGTCCAGCACCCTATATATCACTAAAAAACCCCTACCATTCACCCATATATCAGTACAAAACCCTACCATTCACCCCTATATATCAGTCCAGCACCCTATATCAGTACAAAACCCCTACCATTCACCCCTATATATCAGTCCAGCACCCTATATCAGTACAAACCCCTACCATTCACCCCTATATATCAGTCCAGCACCCTATATCAGTACAAAACCCCTACCATTCACCCCTATATATCAGTCCAGCACCCCTATATCAGTACAACTCCTACCATTCACCCTCTATATATCAGTCCAGCACCCTATTTAACTACAACTCCTACCATTCATCTCTATATATCAGTCCAGCACCCTATATCAGTACAACTCCCCTACCATTCACCCTATATATCAGTCCAGCACCCTATATCAGTACAAAACCCCTACCATTCACCCTATATATAAGTCCAGCACCATATCAGTACAACCCCTACCATTCACCCTTTATATCAGTCCAGCACCCTATATCAGTCCAGCACTTCCTACCATTCACCTCTATATATCAGTCCAGCACCCTATATCAGTACAAAAACCTTACCATTCACCTATATATCAGTCCAGCACCCTATATCAGTACAACTCCCCTACCATTCACCCCTATATATATCAGTCCAGCACCACTAAAACCTACCATTCACCCATATATCAGTACAAAACCCCTACCATTCACCCCTATATATCAGTCCAGCACCCTATATCAGTACAAAACCCTACCATTCACCCCTATATATCAGTCCAGCACCCCTATATCAGTACAAAACCCCTACCATTCACCCCTATATATCAGTCCAGCACCCCTATATCAGTACAAAACCCCTACCATTCACCCTATATATATCAGTCCAGCACCCTATATCAGTACAAAACACTACCATTCACCCCTATATACCAGTCCAGCACCCTATATCAGTACAAAACCCCTACCATTCACCCCTATATATCAGTACCACCATTCCCTATATATCAGTCCAGCACCCCTATATCAGTACAACCCCTACCATTCACCCCTATATATCAGTCCAGCACCCATATATCAGTACAAAACCCCTACCATTCACCCATATATCAGTACAAAACCCCTACCATTCACCCCCCTATATATCAGTCCAGCACCCTATATATCAGTACAAAACCCTACCATTCACCCTATATATCAGTCCAGCACCCCCTATATCAGTACAAAACCCTACCATTCACCCTTTATATCAGTCCAGCACCCTATATCAGTACAACCCCCTACCATTCACCCCCTATATATCAGTCCAGCACCCTATATCAGTACAAATACTAACTCCTACCATTCACCCCTATATCAGTACAACTCCTACCATTCACCTCTATATATCAGTCCAGCACCCTATATCAGTACAAAACTCCTACCATTCACCCCTATATGTCAGTCCAGCACCCCTATATCAGTACAAAACCCCTACCATTCACCTCTATATATAAGTCCAGCACCCCTATATCAGTACAAAACCCCTACCATTCACCCCTATATATCAGTCCAGCACCCTATATCAGTACAAACTCCTACCATTCACCTCTATATATCAGTCCAGCACCCTATATCAGTACAAAACTCCTACCATTCACCTCTATATATCAGTCCAGCACCCTATATCAGTACAAAACTCCTACCATTCACCCTCTATATATCAGTCCAGCACCCTATATCAGTACAAAACCCTACCATTCACCTCTATATATAAGTCCAGCACCCCTATATCAGTACAAAACCCCTACCATTCACCCCTATATATCAGTCCAGCACCCTATATCAGTACAAAACCCTACCATTCACCTCTATATATCAGTCCAGCACCCTATATCAGTACAAACCCCTACCATTCACCCCTATATATCAGTCCAGCACCCTATATCAGTACAAAACTCCTACCATGCACCTCTATATATCAGTCCAGCACCTCTATATATCAGTACAAAACCCTACCATTCACCTCATATCAGTCCAGCACTATGATCAGTACAAAACCCCTACCATTCACCCCTATATATCAGTCCAGCACCCTATATCAGTACAAAACCCCTACCATTCACCTCTATATATCAGTCCAGCACCCTATATCAGTACAACCCCTACCATGCACCTCTATATATCAGTCCGGCACCCCTATATCAGTACAAAACCCCTACCATTCATCCCTTTATCAGTACAAAAACCCTACCATTCACCCCTATATATCAGTCCAGCACCCTATATCAGTACAAAAAACCTTACCATTCACCTCTATATATCAGTCCAGCACCCTATATCAGTACAGAACCCCTACCATTCACCTCTATATATCAGTCCAGCACCCTATATCAGTACAGAACCCCTACCCGGTAACTCTCTCTGGTCAACATGTCAACCACCGCAGTCCACGGCCGTATCTAACACCCCATCCTGCCGTCAGTCCACCACGCCATCAAAGGCCCAAAACCTCAAACACGCACCATTGGCGGATCCAGGGTAGGGGGTGGGGGTGGGGTGTTTGTTGTTTCAGGGGGTTTAAACCCCCCACCCACCTCCACCCCCCGCCTATGCGCACCAACCCTGAAAATGATTAAAATGTATACCCCTAGTCTGTCTCACAGTCTCTGAACGACATTAATTTCCTTACAGCCAAGCCCTCTCTGCAGGCTAAAGCCCTAAATAAAGCAAGTCTAGATTTCCTCAGGTTCAGGAATCTCTGGTCTCCCTGGGGCTCCTTTTCAATTTAAATGGGCTTGTTTGTTACTATCAAAATTATATATATATTCAGAGACTAAGCCTTAGTCTAGTATACCCCCTGCACACCTACCTTAACTCCATTAGCGTGCATGATCAGTCATGCTAATTTTAGACATTTAGAATGTTCTCAGCCTATCTTGACCCCTACACGAGTGTTCTCACTGAAGGACCTACCTTCAGTTGGGTTACCACGACCAGTTGTGACATTCCCCGTGACTGGCCGAATCGCCACGGAACGGGACGCGTGTTATCGAATACAGAAGTGTCTCACAGTCTCTGAACCACATTATTTCCACTTCCGCCAAGTCCTTTCCAAAGACCATAAATGAAGCAAGTCTAGACTTCCCAAGGCTCTGAATCTCCCATCTCACTGGGGCTTGTTTTCAGTTTAAATGCAATTACTTGCTTCTGTCAAAATTATATAAATATACTACCCATCAAAAGTTTAGACTCACTAGTGTAAATGTAGCCACTTACTTGTCCACTGTTCTAAACTAGCTTTTTGCAAAATATTCCATACTGTTTAAAGGTACTGTTTAGTTATGAACTGGTGTATTGTAAAACATATTCGTAACATTGAAAAGATTATTGTCATGAGTTCAGTAAATGATTAAAATCTGTGAAAATTGGCGAATTCTTAACAAAACTTTACACCAAAACGAATCTGTTCACATGCACGACATTTGCTCATGCCTTTCGCAATTTGAAGCATCATCCTTGTGCAATTCATCTGCATAAGGTTTTCAGTTGGTTCCCCCAAGTTGGTGGAGAAATTCATCTTCGATGTAACCACATACATATACATAACATATAGTGAGTGCTTTAAGTCAGTCTAAACTTTTGATGGGTAGTATATATTCAGAGACTTTAGCTTAGTCTACAGCAGCGACCATAAACCGGTACATGGTCTGCGGTCTACAGTGAAAGATGCATTGATGCGAAGTATGCATTGACATTAGGACGCTGAAATATCAAGAAAGGATCTGTACGAGTTTCCAAAACATTCATGAAACACACCCACACCCGTTATACTTGTTGAGCAGGTCTCCGATGAGTTGTGAATGTAAACAATGCAAAACAGAAACACAGAATAGAAACACCATGTAATGGCGCTACAAGGTATAAGCTTGTTGATCTGATTCAAAGCGCTATCGCCCAACAGGAAATATTACCTGGACACCAGTAGATATATGCGAACTAAAGAGATTTAAGTGAGTAAGTTGAATTCAACTTTGAACAATATTCTAGTGATTACACGAGGCGTCAGCTAAATTAAATTAAATTAAATTAAATTAAATTAAATTAAATTAAAGTGGTTTAAAGTCCAAGGTGACACAGGTCAGACGTGAAACCCACGACCACGGGTATGGTGTTGGGATTCGAACACACAGGGTTCCGGTGTACCCAAGGAACGTAAGTCCATTGAAGGGATTAGATATCTTCATACGAATGAACATTTCACTGTTTTAACACATGCTAGTGTTAGACAGTAAATGCATAAGTCAATCCAGTGATGGACACTAGGAGCAAACTTCCATGTACGCAATAAGAATACCGTATCGACCAGCGTCCGGACCAGACAATCCAGTGATCAGCAGGATGAGCATCGATCTACGCAATTAGGATACGATGAAATGTGTCGACCAAGTCAGCGAGTCCGACCGCCTGATCCCGTTAGTCGGATCTTGCGACAATCACAGGTTGCTGATGGCGAAATTTTAGACAGATCTTCATATGTAACTGATAAATTGAATCGATCAGTAAACAGACATGTTAAGAAGATTTTCACCAGATGTGTTTATAAAAATGATTAGAAATTATATTAGAAGATGATTTTATTACAGGTAAGTTGAAACAGTATAAACACATAGTAACAATATCTTAGGAAAGCTTCTTGCACGTTTCTGTTAATTTGTAAGCGACCATTCTGATCATTTAGCGATACGTGTGTAATTATTCATGAGGCGAGTCAACAACTATTTTGATTAAGTTGAAAGTCCTTTGTCACACATTACTACAAACTCTTCTTTCGTACGAACCCTCAGCCTCGGGCCTCTCGCGTGTTCAATTCAACGGCGGTCATTCGTAACCTTTCTTGAAACAGTACGCTCTATTAAATGCATGCAAGCATTTATCTTATTCCAAAATCGAGAACTCGATCGCCGTATCGCTGTGCATGAACAGTGGAATATACACCGGTGGTGTGGCGATTAAACGAGTTATCGCCGATACGATATATCGGTGTGCGATACTCTAACACTGACATAAGAGTGTGTGTATTGTTTTGTGACAGTTTCAACTGGATTTGAGTGACATCATTTGTTTGTTTGTTGTTTACCGCCGCAATATACCAGCTATATGACGGCTGGACCAGACAATCCAGTGATCATTACCATCGATCTATGCAACTGGGACAAGTGTCACCCAAGTCAGCAAACCACCCGATCCCGTTAGTCGCCTCTTACGACATGCATAGGTTGTTGAAGACCAATTCTAACATGGATCTTCAAGGGTGGAGACGAGAATGGTTTGCTGAAGACCAATTATAATCCGGATCTTCACAGGGGAGACAAGCATGGGTTGCTGAAAACCAAGTCTAACCCGGATCTTTACAGGTCTCAGTGACATCACCGCCACTTGGTTTAACAATCCATTCAATTTCCAAGAAGATTACGATATCCAAGATATTTTTATGGATTAAACTTCTTTTTAATTTCCCTCACGACGTTTCGAGACCATTCCAGGTCCCTTCATCAGGTGAACTCTGATGAAGGGACCTGGAATGGTCTCGAAACGTCGTGAGGGAATTTAAAAAGAAGTTTAATCAATAAAAATATCTTGGACATCAATGTACAACTTCTAAATGCCACTGAAAGACAAGATTACAACAGGTGAAGTTACGTATATCTTCCACGTCGTGATACAACTGTTAGTAACAGCGGAATAAAACTACATTCATTCCTCCAAATCTTCCAGTTGAACATATATTTATCTTCCTGTCACTATATATGAGGCACATAGATCTATATTATCGTCATGTTATTTATTTCCATTGTCTCGGATAAAAGAAACATGGGTGGAGCAGTGGTCCAAGTGGTCTAAATCGCCATAGCGAGGGCCTGGTATTTCCAGGAACCAACAGTATGGATCTCGCGCTGACTTCGTTTCCAGGTTTGTCAGCTTTGTACCCGTGCTCGGGAGTTTCATAGAACTCTGTAAACGTGAGATCTGCATGACTTCGGGATTTTCTCCGAAATCAACCAGATTCGCTGTGATGTTACTGAAGTGCTGTTCCAAGAAGCGTACTGAAACACATGCCTTCCGTGTTCGGTTTTTTAATGAACAAAGCCAGTGGCAAGGAAACAAACACTGCAGCGAAATCCGTTCCCAATACGCCCCATTGAATACAAATACACAAAAAACAAGAACAAAAGTGAAACAGACATAATTAACACGCGTGGAACAGACACAACACACGTGAAACAGACATAACACATGTGAAACAGACATAATTAACACGCATGGAACAGACACAACACACGTGAAACAGACACAACACCAATAAAACGGACACAACACATGAAACAGATACAACAAACAGACACTACTCCTGTGAAACAGACACAACAGATTTGAAACAGACACAACACATGTGAAACAGACATAACACATGTGAAACAGACATAATTAACACGCATGGAACAGACACAACACATGTGAAACAGACATAATTAACACGCATGGAACAGACACAACACACGTGAAACAGACACAACACATCTGAAACAGACATAACACATGTGAAACAGACATAATTAACACGCATGGAACAGACACAACACACGTGAAACAGACACAACAGATGTGAAACAGACACAACACATGTGAAACAGACATAACACATGTGAAACAGACATAATTAACACGCATGGAACAGACACAACACACGTGACAAACACATGTGGAACAGACACAACACACAGACATAATTAACACGCATGGAACAGACACAACACATGTGAAACAGACACAACACATGTGAAACAGACATAACACATTTGAAACAGACATAATTAACACGCATGGAACAGACACAACACACGTGAAACAGACACAACAGATGTGAAACAGACACAACACATGTGAAACAGACATAACACATGTGAAACAGACATAATTAACACGCATGGAACAGACACAACACACGTGAAACAGACACAACACACGTGAAACAGACATAATTAACACGCATGGAACAGACACAACACACGTGAAACAGACATAATTAACACGCATGGAACAGACACAACACACGTGAAACAGACATAATTAACACGCATGGAACAGACACAACACATGTGAAACAGACACAACACACGTGAAACAGACATAATTAACACGCATGGAACAGACACAACACACGTGAAACAGACACAACACATGTGAAACAGACACAACACATGTGAAACAGACATAACACATGTGAAACAGACATAATTAACACGCATGGAACAGACACAACACATGTGAAACAGACACAACACATGAAACAGACATAACACATGTGAAACAGACACAACACGCATGTGAAACAGACACAACACATGTGAAACAGACACAACACACGTGAAACAGACATAATTAACACGCATGGAACAGACACAACACATGTGAAACAGACACAACACACGTGAAACAGACATAATTAACACGCATGGAACAGAATGGAAATTAGACACAACACATGTGGAAACAGACACAACACATGTGAAACAGACACAACACACGTGAAACAGACATAACACATGTGAGACATAACACAACACATAATTAACACGTGGAACAGACACAACACATGAAACAGACACAACACATGTGAAACAGACATAACACACGTGAAACAGACATAACACATGTTAACACGCATGGAACAGACACAACACACGTGAAACAGACACAACACATGAAACAGATAAACAGACACTAACTCACGTGTGAAACAGACACAAACACATGTGAAACAGACACAACACATGTGGAACAGACATAATTAACACGCATGGAACAGACACAACACATGTGAAACAGACACAACGCCCATAAAACGGACACAACACATGAAACAGATACAACAGACACTACTCCTGTGAAACAGACACAACACATGTGAAACAGACACAACACATCTGAAACAGACATAACACATGTGAAACAGACATAATTAACACGCATGGAACAGACAC